ATATATATATATATATTCAATACTGTTTGTTATAGCTATATATAGAAGGTAGAGAGAGAGAGAGAATCCTTTACACCTTGTTTTGCAGGGAGAAAGAGATGGAGGAAGAGAAGTTTTTCAGGGGTTTTCTCCATCTATAAACAAGCATTGGAGCCCAGGAGGAGGTGGGCAGCTGATGATGATGAAGCAGTGGAGAAGTTCATATGTACAGTGCTTCTGATTAATCGATACTGAGCAAAGTACTATAATTATTGCCAAATAAATGGTCCCAAAAATCCAAATTCATAAAGGGTGGAGTGGGTTAAGGGTAAAAAAATAATATAGTTGCTATCATTCACTAGGGAATTGGTTTTTATTATGTTACTCTAAATAAAAAAAATCATAAAAAAATATATTTACTAAAAATGCTTCCCGGCCTGTTGGAAATACAAATGGATCAAAATGATATATTTATTAAAAATCATAAAATATATATTTACTAATTAATAGTCTCTGTTTTCTAGGGGAGTACGTCCTGGGAAAAAAGGACAGGGAAATAGAAACGGGAAACGGTTCTTATTAGTATAGTTTTTACTATTTAATTAGTGTGAGGATGTGCAGTTTCACTTTTCCCTGCCTTCCTTGCATAATTCACTGAGTCTGTACGCATTATAGTACCTGACATGTCTGATTCACTTTTCTTTGATCCTAGCTAGCTACCTTTTCCTTGGTTTGTCTTAATCCTTAATTTTTTCCATGACCCAACCAAAACACATTTACTATCACATTCAATATTTTATCCATTGAAATGAAGAAGCAGCAATCCCCAAATATGAAAAAGGAAGGAACTAAAATGAGTTTTGTATATGGAAAATGATTCACATATAATGTTTATGACAATAAAATGTTATTAGTTTAGATCATAATAATTATGATTGATTCTTTTTACTATATAAAATATGAGAATTGATACGTATGTATATTTATAATAATAAAAAAAATAATTTATATATTTTTTAATTTAATATATTTATTAAAAAATTATTATTTTTAAATTTAAATTTATATTAAAAATGAGAAATTTTAAAACTATAAATTTTAATGACTTAAATTTTTTATTTTTAATTTAAATTTAAAAATAATAATTTTTAATAAATATATTATAAAATATATTAAATCAAAAATATATATCAATAATTGAATTAGTAAAAAATATTATGTTGGAAAACAATTATAATACAGTAGTATCTCACAACATGAAATCGATCATAATAATTGACAGCTGGCGTATGTGTACTTTTACCGAAACCAAACCTTCCTCAGATCCTCTGTTCAAGTCTTTAAAACTCTCATTTTCAAAAAAAAAAAGTCTTTAAAACTCTCTCACCCCATAAATTGGGGATGATAATGGTATGGCAGAGAAACTGCATATTTTGTTCTGTTATTATAACAAAAAAATAGCAAGTGTAAGTGCACTTGGCCCTTGAAGCCTAGTGGTAATAGTCACTCCAGTGTATTCCCCTCTCTCGGGCTGGGTTCGAAACCCGCCCTTGCAAATATGTTCAAAAAAAAAAAAAAATAGCAAGTGTAAGTAAGGTGATGTACAGTGAGTACCGAGTTCTGCATGTAGACACAGGTTTTTAGGGCCCTTTGCACTGGACTGTAATAAATCTTATAAAAAAAGGTACACATTTCACTATTAGCTGGCTAGTTTTTCCTGCTTCATATTCAATTAATGGATACGGCCGAAAGAAATTCATGAAAAACCAACCCATCCTGCAGCTTTTCCAATTATTTCCAATTTTCAACAAAACAATCAAGAAAGGAGAGAGAGTAATATTAACTCTTTTTTTTTTTTAACACTGAGGAATTGGTTTGGAGAGGTAACAAAACAATCAAAAGGAGTCAGAGTAATATTATTTTTTTTTTTTGAACATTGAAGAATTGGTTTGGGGAGGAGAATTAAGTCCTAGGTTTAGAATAAAGGACATGTTGTCTGAATCCATGCATTTAAGTGGGTGTTCACTAAGTTATTATGGGCTGAACGAGATAATTATTTTTTATTATACAATTAAGATAAAAAAATATATTAATTAAAAAATAATAAATTAAGAGTTACTATAAAAAAATTTTATTTTAATTATATAATAAAAAATAATTATCTTCTATCCATTTCTTTACCCACTTATATGTTATACGATTTAAAATAAAAAAAATTAATTATAAAAACTTGATCTATATCAAAGTTTCAATTTTAAATTAGAGAGTTTTATTTTAATACCAACTATACTTCAAGTGATATAAGTCTCCTTGTAGCAAAATTAAAGAATCTTGATTCGAGTTGTAGAACAGGCATTCAGACAGAGTCGGTGAAAGAATTAGAAAGAAGAAGGCATGTCATATATATTTGAATGGTTGCAATAATTGTAATTAAAGAAGTGTCAACACAATTAACTGAGCAGTCGATATTTCAAAATCGTCAAAAAGTGTTAGCCAGGGTAGAGCAACAAACTACTAGTTTGAGTTTCAGTTTTTAAACCAAATGAGGTGGAATTTTGTGAAAACTTGAAAAGAAAAAAGGGACAAAGTAAAAGGGGTTTTTTTTTTTTTTTTTTTTTTTTTTTTTTTTTTCTGAGCTTTCAAGTCCAAGGGTTTGGTTTGTTGTCTTATGATATACAGAGCTATTGGGTCGAGTTTTGGAAGGGGTAGGCCCAAGAAGGTGAAGATTGTGTCTGTAGGTAGGAGTGGCCTCGTGTGGGTTGGTTTAATTAGTCAATCTGCAAACAGAACCGGCGGCCCGGCAATCAAACCCTGTAAGAAAAATAAATGAAAGGTACTTGTGAGCTAAATTCTTCCATCAAATGCCAGATTTTTTGAGGCTTCAACATTTCCATTGCAGGTAATTTCTGGCTCCTCTTTTCACATATCATCCTTGGTTTCACTTTTGATTACTTCGTTAAGTACGTTTTGTGGCTCAACTGAATCATGCTTTTCTCTTGTTGTCTTGATAAATTGTTTTTGTTTATGTGGGTTGGCTCGGCTGTTGGGTATTTCTTAGTAAAAGTTTGTTTCTGATTATGGGTTTTTTTTTAGTTATCAGACATTAATTGTAATCGTTAATGATTCATGATTAAGCGCAAATACAGTATGGGGGGTTTTATGCATCTTTGGTCTTTGGGACAAATGTTATCAGTTGACTTTCTAAGATGTGTATTTTCAGTTTTGTGTTTCCTGATGAGTTTAGTCTTTATGGATCCATTTAATGTGCTGCTCCTGCTTGAAAGATCTGAACTTTGTTTCAATTCTTCTTGCACAAATTTCCTGCATCTTGTTTCTATAAGAATTTTTTTGCTTGGATGTGTAGATAGCTAGGAACAACTGTTGGTTGTTAGTATCTTAGTTTTGCAAAAGGTAAATTCATTGCTCTTTTTTGGTCTTCTAATGGTTTGTTAAGGTCATAAATTCATTGGATCTTTTTCAATTTTCTCTCAGCCACTACTGGGGAAGGAGGGGATTCTTTCAATCACCGTAAAACACATGAAGTGGTGAGTGGTGACCGTTATTCATGGCATCATCTGATGATTTAGTGAGAATAGTTGAGGTGATAGAGGTTGCCCCATCTTCTAATCAATTTCCAACCTCTGCTGCTGAATTCATTCTCCCACTTACCTTCTTTGACACTTACTGGTTTAAGCTCTCCCCTGTAGAACGCCTCTTCTTTTATCCCTTACCAGCTGACTCAAATCCTACCCTCTTCAACTCCGTAATTCTCCCCAAACTCAAGAAATCCCTTTCTCTTACTCTCCTCCACTTCCTCCCTCTTGCTGGCAACCTTATTTGGCCGTCACCTGATGCTGCAAAGGCCGTCATCCGCTATACTCCAAATGACGCTGTTTCTCTCACGGTTGCTGAATCTGACGGAGACTTCAACCGCCTCTCTGGTAATGAAATCATTAACGCTATTGAGTTACATCCTCTGGTACCTCAGTTGAAGGCATCACATGATGCTGTGGCAATCACAGCCATCCAGATAACGCTGTTTCCCAATAAAGGGTTTTGTATTGGCTTAACAATACATCACACAGTGCTTGATGGTAAAAGTGTGATGATGTTTATCAAGTCTTGGGCCTATATATGTACCAACCAAGAAAACTACCCTTTGCAGTTACCATCTGATCTAGCCCCGTTTTTTGACAGGAGTGTTATCAAAGATCCATCTGGTCTTGATGTGTTGTTCTTGAACCAGTGGCTAGCTCTTACAGCCTCAGATCCCAAGACGAGAAGCTTGAAGGTGTCACAAAATCTAGGAAGAGTTTCTCCTAATCTGGTCCGGACAACATTTCTACTCTCTCATGACAACATTAACAAACTCAGAGAATTGGTTCTATCTAAATGGGACAAAAAAAAACCAATCCATCTGTCAACTTTTGTGCTGGCATTCGCATATACGGCAACTTGTTTGGTGAAAGCAAGAGGGGGAGAAAGTGAGAGAGCTGTGTTTATGGCATTCGCATCTGATTACAGGACACGTTTAGACCCTTCCGTGCCAGAAAATTATTTCGGAAACTGTCTTGGTCCTCACGGTCAGTGTGTGAAAGCAGGAGATCTTATGGATGAAAATGGGGTAGCCTTTGGAGCACACATGTTAAGTGATGAGATTAAAGGCTTAGAAAAGGGTGGGGTTCTTGATGGAGCAAAAAATAAATGGTCTGCCGTGTTGGATGCCATCGTTAAAGAATCAGGATCGATGCAAATAATTACTGTTGCGGGGTCACCCCGTTTCCATGTTTATGGATTAAATTTTGGATGGGGTAAACCCAAGAAGGTGGAGATTGTGTCTGTAGATAGGACCGGAGCTATTTCCTTGGCTGAGAGTCGAGATGGGAGTGGTGGGGTTGAGATTGGTTTGGCATTAGAGAAGCATGAAATGGAAATTGTTGCTTCTTTGTTCAAACTTTAAATCCGAGGTAGGTTCATTTTTCCATATCCACACACACACGCCTATATGTATACGTTGTCATATACATCACCACTATTTCGTCTTTGTTTTTATGTATCGGGAGGAAGATCAAGCTGATGCTGATCCTTTTAAAATAAACAGGTGTATGTGCGTTTTAGCATGATGGGTGATTAGTATTGAAATAAACATCATGCAAGCTATTCCAGTACCGAATCAAGTCAGGGTAAAAGGAAGACAGCTATCAGAGTGTCTTAGGTTTGTGGTATTTTGATGTCATTGGATCGGAGTTTACTTTTAAGGAAGTTTTTCTTTGTTGCCTTACGTTGTACATGCATGTTGACAGTGGGCAGCCAATGGCTTCCTACACCCCTGCCATCAATGTTAACATGTTATTGCCTGGTATGGTGTAGTCTTATTCCATTAATGAGCCAGAGAACTACTGTTGGTTCTGGGGATTCTCAGCAGATTACGGGGCTGGATTAGACCCACCTGTGCCAGAAATTTACTTCGGAAATTGTCTTGGTGCTCATGGCGGTCAGTTTGGAAAAGCAAGAGATTCCACGAAGCAATTGGGATCAATGTAAGCGAAGTTCATTCTGTTCTTCTTATTTACTGATACTGAGCAATGTATTATTATTGCCAAATAAATGGTCCCAAAAATCCAAATTCATAAAGGGTGGGGTGGGTTAGGGGCAAAAAAATCATAAAAATCATAAAATTGTTATCTTTCATAAATGATTAATTTTTATTATGTAACTCAAATTAAAATAATTTTTAAAAAAATCATAAAAATATATTTACTAAAAATGCATCCCGGCCTGTTGGAAAATACAAATGGAAAATGATATTTACTAAAAATCATAAAATAAGTATTTACGAATTGAAACTCTGTTTCTAGGGGAGTCCTGAGAAAAAAAAAACATAAGAGAGGGAAATAAAAATGGAAAATGGTATTTATTATTTTAGTTTTTATTTAGTTAATGTGAGGATGTGGAGTTTCACTTTCCTTGCCATCCTTCCACAAAATTCACTGAAGTACTGAACGCATTATGGTGCGTACCTTACATGTCTGATTCACTTTTCTTTGATCCTAGCTACCTTTTCTTTGGTTTGTCCTAATAATCCGTTTTTTCATAACCCAACCAGAACACATTTACTAATAAATGCACTAGAAAAAAATGCATACCGCAACTCCCTGCAAGGTCAAGTCTTCCCTCAATTTCAAACTTGACTTATGGATCAAGTGGCCTTATCACACTTGAAGATTCATCTCTTCCTCCCTCAAGAGCAACAGTTCTACCAACTCCATAATAAAAATGTTAAAAAAAAAAAAGAAAAAAGTCTTCCCTCAATTTCAAACTTGACTTATGGATCAAGTGGCCTTAATCACACTTAAAGATTCATCTCTTTCTCCCTCAAAAACAACAGTTCTACCAACTCCATAATAAAAATGTTAAAAAAAAAAGAGAAAAAGTCTTCACTCAATTTCTACTGCCTTGATCTGCCATATCTTTGCAATGCACAATTGCCTACAACTTCATTAATGCAAGCTATAGTACAAGCCGCAATTTCTCCAAGTGGTTTCACACAAAAACCGGTTTCTTGTTTTTGTATATATAGACATATGCCTTTACCGAGATGTAGAAAATGAGTTCAAGAAATGAATAAACATTTTTCATTCTTTAAAGTTATCAACTATCACATTCAATATTTATCCATTAGATGACGAAACAGCAACGCCCAAATATGACAGGGAAGGAACTAAACTATAACCCATTTCAATTCAGACGACATTGCCCTTTATAATGATAAGATTGTATGGAAAATGATTCACATATAATGTTTGTTATAATAAAATTTTATTAATTAGTTTATATCATAATAATTATAATTAATTAATTTTATTTATTATAAAATATGTGAATTGATACATATTTATTTATAGTGGTAAAGAAAATCATGCTTGGAATCAAATTCTAATTCTTAGTATCTCACCATGAAATCAGTCATAATAGTTGCAGCTGGTAGATGTGCATGCAGTACTTTTACCGAAACCAAACCTTACTCACTTCCTCTGTTCAAGTCTTAAAA